GTCACCAACTTTCCCTGGAGAAAGAGAACATTATTTGATCAATCCCACAGTCATACTTGTCCTGTACGGTGGGTGAGAGTGCGTGAGTAAATGGTGTGTGTGTGTGTGTGTGTGTGTGTGTGTGTGTGTGTGTGTGTGTGTGTGTGTGTGTGTGTGTGTGGCTGGGGCTGGCACCACAGTTCATTCAGATCACAGTTCTGATCACAAAAGCTGCCAGACGGGACAGGGTATAAAAAAAAGTGTATTTGATCAGCACTACTGGACTGAGCAAATACTGAGAAACAAATGTTGCCCAGCAGGAAGTTGTACCTTTTCTCATGAAAGGAGACACCTCTTGGTTCATCACAGGAACTGTGGAATAGTTGGTCATCTTGTTTTGTTTCATGCTGTCAAACGTCACACTGGCTCTGACTCTTTCCTTCTCTTCAACTGAAGGAGACAAACCAAGGAAGGAACACAGTCGGTCTATTTCTTTTTCATAGTCCTGTTAACATCAATATTGAAAATATGAATAAGTTTAGAAGGGACAGTTCACTCCAACATGAAATGTATGTTTTTTTCTTCTTCTGCTCTCTAGTGCTATTTATTCATAGCACTAAGGAAAACATAAATTGACATGTGAAAACACATTTTAGTTGTCTGTGTCTTTGTTCATTCTCTGTGAATTTTCAAGTTAAAGACGTCAGACCATTCTTTGTATTTTATTTATTATTATTAAACCTCGTATCTGAGGTTTTCTTTTTTTGCAGTTTATGCATCAGAAACAATTCAACGAACTACAGTTTTCAGACATAACCCAATCTTTGCCAAATCAAATATGCAGATTTTCAAAATTAAGATTTCCATACCAAACAGGTCAGGGGCTGGGTTAACAATAAACGCCTATCGATTGGTTAGGCGGGCTTTTAAGGATAGAGACAGAAATGTATTAACAAGAGGAGAATATGCTGAGTTAATGAATGAAGAGAAGAGAGGAAGGAGATTGGATTGAGGACTTATAGTGAATCAGGACATGCAGAAGAAGTAGTGCATCTATGAAGTGGATGAAGAGTGGAAAGGCAGGTGGTCCAGATGACGTACCTGTGGAGGTATGGAGATGTCAACGAGAGAGAGGAGTGGACTTTTTAATGAAATTGTTTAACATCTTGGAGAGTGAGAGTTGCCTGAGAAATGGAGAAGATGTGTTTTCAAGAACAAGGGGGATATACAGAGCTGTGGTAACTACAGAGGGATAAAGTTAATGATCCATAGCATGAACATATGGGAAAGAGTGACTGAAGCTAGATTAAGAAGAGAGGTGGCGATCACCGAGCAGCAGTGAGAGCAGCAGACAGAGCACTACAGATGTAATGTTTGCTTGGAGAGTGTTAATGTAGAAGTGTAGAGAAGGTCAAAACTAGTTGCTCTGTATCTT